CCTAAGAAGAAACAGATAAATCTTCTCCCTGTATCTATGCCTAAATCGTCAAAATCACACTACGGAGTCTTCAAAATGTGTGGGGCTGGGGTAAAAGGAGTCAGGGTTAGGAAAGCATGTTGTTTTCAAGGGTTTGGGGCGTGAGTGACATGCTATGAATGGATTAAAGGTTGACGCTTGTAGCGCATTCTGTGTCTGCATTTGCATGCTTATGTGTAATGTCTTGCATCTGCACAGGTGTCAGACGTTTGTGTTGTTTCCTGAGTTTGGGATCATCTGAGAAATTCGGGCAAAGGTACACGACAATCGTGAAATTGAGGTTCATCGCTCAGTCAGCTCCCTTGATTTACATACATACATTTATATATACATATACTTGTGAATGGGATCGTAGTTGTTCTGGATCGGAAAGTCATTTGTTTAGGCTTCTGTTCGAGAAGAATAGGAGACCACGAAGGGGATCAACCCTGGCATTCTCACATATTGAGCAAAGTAAACATTGAGTCATTATCTTAGTTAGTTAAGTGTGGAAAAATGTCATAGAAAAGTCGATCTGATTAATAGTCGGTCCGGGGAGTTAGCGCCTCGGGGCACGACATACGGGTCAATCTTAAGGCGTTCTACCGCACGTATGCCTATGCTACGGCGATCGAGAAAACACCCTCGGCTGACCTACCTCTGCGATTGCATGTAAAAACCTTCGTACGTGGGTCAGTAGCTCAACAGGGATACGCCCACCTAAGGGATGGTGACAGCTCCCGCAGGTGGAGGTAATGTTGTACCTCGCGGGACCCTAACCTGTCGTAGGGAGTCGCGAGAGGTATAACACGCGCGCACGGTCGGAGTTGGTATTTCGTAAAGTGACAAGAAAAAACTCCTGCGTGACACGACCGTGAGGTCCGACACAAAATATACTTTGCGTCTAGGGTGTGGGACCGGCGCGCGCGACAACGAGCCCGACAGCTACCACGACTACAGGCCGGTAATGCTCTGCTGTACAGCAGGGCGTCGAGCCTACGTGGACCAAAGGAAAGTCCTATGGCGCACCCTTTTGCCAAGGCGAAAGCCACTTGGGCCTCCTCACATCAAAGTACAGCTCCGATATCAGCCTTGCAGGTGTTTCAAAACACGTCCAATGAACCGTGGACATCAAGACAAAGGATTGTGCCGAGCAGAAATCTGGCACACAAAGGAGGGTCGGGATACCGCGCCCTCCGACTGCGGGACCGCCGCGCGCGACAGGTGGCGTCGTTGCCGGGGACCTTCGGTTGCCTGTCGGGGTTCTATGTGAACGGACGTGGGTCTGGTTAATTGAAGCCCTAGCAAAACGACACGTGAAGGAATAGAGTAGAGTATAAACGTTCGATAAGCAGTACTTATAATAATAAGAATAGTTGTTAGTCTCCTGATACAAGCCTTGTGTTTAAGTACCTTGAGATATGACGAGTATAGGCTTACGTATCTCACTGGTCATCACTACGAGCCTTAGTATGTACTTCTGTTACTTCCTGGGAAGATACTTGTTCCTTTTGCCTACTAAAGAGGACGCATATGAATAATAGGTAGAAACACAAAATCCTTCATCGATAGGGGTAGCGGAAGAACTAATAATAAGAAGTTGACAAGTCTCGTCAAGTCAGCCAAGATGTTTCTCTAGATAACCCCTTCCAGTTCCTACGACAATCATGTGCTTTTATTTTTCGACATTAGAGGCTCATCAGGCAGATAGCTTATACTACACAGTCATTTTGATATCCCTTATAATCCATACGTATCCCCAGCCTTAGACGTTGTTTTAATCACTTAGTGATTAGACACTTACAACATTTCTATAAGTAATACCTTTAGTCATGCTACGCGGATCAGGGACTGGAAGAGGAAGAGGTGGATGGCAAGGAAAGGCTACAGATATGCCGATTGACTTGACAAGGGAAAGAGAAGAGCAAGAGGAGGAAGAGGAAGAGGAGGAAAACTGGAAAGGGCCGCGATTGCGCCGGCATTAGGAAGACTTCCGCGAGCGCACGCCGTCCCCTAGAAAAATGGCGTATTATTCTTATAAATACGAACAACATTATGGCGCCCCGCCTCCACGATTCGAACCACCTTCTTGATACTATCCTATGACATACTCTTCACCATCTTCTTCCATGGCACGCCGTCTTCAACAACTGGCTATAGTTCCTCAACCACCTCGGTCTGCGCTTCCACCTCCACCGCCATATGTACCTGATCCTCCCGTAGTATCTCAGAACGTCCCAACAAATCATACGTTGTGCATTACCTTAACACTATTATTCCTATGCCAGGTTGAGTTATGCTGGTTCATCTCGTACCTACTATATAGGGGGATTATCCGAGGAAGCATCGAAAGGAGGAGATTAGGGTACGATGAGGCCAAGGCTTTCCCTCGTTGCTGATTAGAAAACGGTGATTGAGGAGATCCATCTGAGTTTGTGAAGGGGAAGGTATCCAGACTGGGGAAATGTAATAATGCGCGATGCGGAGTTTCATTATCCTTACTTAACTCTTGTTAAACTTATCACTCAAATAAGCAATAGATACCAGCAAGGAACTAAAGAGTCAAGGGGTATACAAGAGAAAAACCAGTTATAAATAAAGGACTTTGATTAATAATAGGTACCAATGAAAATCGGGATACTCCGTAGCAAGGGTAGTAGAAGTTAGTGCTTATAATGACAGAAAAAAAATACATTTAATGGTTGTTTCTGTTTTGCCCTTTGCATAAACAGGTCACTAAAGAGGTCGCCCGAATTCCATCAAGATGCCTTACACGGAGCAGGTTTCCAGGGTCGAGGTACCAATTAGGAACAAAGATGGGCTAGAAATGACGCTACCGAAAGGGAAAGACAGAGTAGAACTTTGCGAGTCATGGTGGGGCAACTCGTTGGGAAATGAGGCATTCATGTGGGTAGAGACGAGTTGGGATACGGTAGAAGAATGTCGTAGTGTGAGAGTCATCCTCTACCTGACTAATCGTCTCTGGCATGGTCATGAAATGGATCTCAGTCAAGAACGGAAAGAATATCTACAACAACTTACAGGGATGGCAGAAGCGACACTCAACGTCTGGAGCCGAGAGGGTCGATAGCGAGAAGCAGGAAAAGTTATAAAGGAAATCAAAATGCGTCCGGCCAAAAACTTTGTTCTTCCGATCCGCTACATTAGAACCACACTCCCTGATTTCATTATGAATGAGGTGTTGAATGGTCAAGCAAGAGTAGAGTTGGCCGCTGAAGCCGCACTGAGAGTACCTAATAGAGGATACGACTTCTCCACCCCTCATATGATCTACTGCTTATACCAGGAGATGGGCCCCGAGCTAACTGAAAGTGGTTTTAGCAATATTTTGTCCATCGTATACACATATGCCCGAATTTACCTTATGGAGGAAATATTTGGGTATTGGGAAAAACTGAAGGAGAAGGTACGCACGGGATTCTGCGTGGATGGTATTCCCGCTATGTTTGGCTTGGTCTATAACTTCTGGTCCGGGGACTGGGTAACGGTAAGTGAAATGGAAGAAGAAGAGAGGGGGTCTGTGTTCTAAGAATGATAGGGCAGGACGTTGAGATGAGAAGAGAGCACGAGGGACAAAAAAGGGAAGATGAGGAAGCTAAAGGAAGGCATTTGCTTGTCTACGTTGCCTGTAGGAAGGAGTAATGAATGAGTATACTGAGAAGAGAAAAGGGTATGGCATGAAGAGATAGGAAGCCTTAGGTTAAAAATGTTCACATCTGGGGCAGGCTTAAAAAATAAAAATAAAGAATTATTAACTGTAATGTTTTTTGTCTCTTTCTTTGCACGCTCAGGCCACCGGAGATCGCCCAAGATGTTGTATGCCAATCAGGGATTTGGGGATTGAACTGCCCGTTTGTACTCGACAGGGGTTGAAGATGTTACTACCTCGAGGCCTAAGTGAAAGAGAAAAAGAAATCACCGCATGGTGGGGCACCTCGATCGGGCCTGAAGCATTTGTATGGGTATAAATTGGACACAACCCAGATAGAGAAAGTATAATAGAACGAGCAACCTTGTATCTTTCGTCGCATCTATGGAGGATGCATGGGATAGACCTGGCAATAGGACATAGTCAACCCCTGTCGCGATACATCTTACTTCTCGGGACAGTCCTTGAGGACAAAATCCGAGAGACAAGCTGAGGAAAATTCCGACAAGTTATACCAATGATAGAAGCGAAATGGGCGTCAGATTTTGTGTATCCCACCGACTATATAGTAGTCGCTCTTCCAGACTTCATCATTGTTGAAGTTTTCAAAGGACACGTAAACGTGGAACAAGCAGCCTTGAAAGCCCTAGCGGCGCCTCAGACAGGATGTGAATTTTTCACACCTCAAACTCTCTATTGCCTATATTGAAAAATGAGACCAGAATTGGCTAATAGAGACTTCGAGGAAATCCTATCCATGGTAAATGCTTATGTCCGTGTCCATTTTATGGAGCCAAGGCAGACATATTGGGAAAGACTAAAAGCGGAGCTAAAAATCAAAATATGCATTGATGGTATCCCTATAATGTTTGGGATGATGTATGACTTATGGACGGGAAATTGGATGTACGCCGAAGAGGTTGGAAGGGTAGAGTGGTGAAGAAATCCGGAAAGATGTCTAGAGCCAATCTCATTTTGGTCTTAAGATGAGGTAGTAATTAGGGGCACATAAACTAGGAAGGCTAGAAGGTGTCAGTTGGTGAGGAAGAGAAGGTAGGAAGTCATGGAAAACAAGTTAGAACTGTAGGTACTAAGAGTCTTGAATAACATCTTGGGGAAAAGGAAAAACCTAAAAAGGGAAACGTTAGACGGCCAAGAGTAACCTGAAAAATCCGTCGTTTTTGCTTGTGTAAAACAGATTTACTGGGAATTGCGGGAAGAATGTGAGACGCTAATGGAACATGAGGATTAGGGTCCATGACCGCGGCCGAGATCGCGCGATTACTAGACAATAGAAATGTCAAGAGGTCTCAGCTGCTCCGGATAGAAATTTTTCCCTTCAAAGAAGGACGTATATCGCAATGTTTGAATATGTATGGTGGGAGTTTCGCCTCGAGATTGAAAAGATTGTGGCTGATGCCCAAGGAGATTGGAACAGTTTCAAGAAAGAAATGCAGAGAAAGTACAAGCTGGGAGATGGGTTATTGACAATTGACCAGCTTCACAACATCAACAGGAATGATTTCACTACAATAGGAGTTTTTGCAACAGCCTTTGAGAAAATGGCAGAGCGAGTTCCGGGACTTTCCGAGGAAATGCAGTGTGTTATCTTCCTGGGAAAAATTTCGGGCTATGAGACTATGGAATTGACCCGGGGAGGTGCATCAGGACGAAAGACGTCATGGGAGACAATAAAGAGAAACTTAGCATCTAGGGACTTAGACCAGGTGTTCCGTCACCAAGTGAAGATGGAAAGGAAGAAAAGAAAGGAGATAGGTGTCATCCAAGGGGCCGACTCTGCCCTAGGAGGAGTACTGAGTAGTATGGAAACTCAACTGAAAGAGTTGAAGGATAAGGTGGAATCTGGAAAAGTGATGGCGGTCGGACAAACGTCGAATAAAATGAGGTATGAAGGAGAAGGTGAAGGGAATAAAGAAGGGAAGAAATCTGAACCAGTATTACAGTCTAAGAAAGCTCAAAAGCAGAATCAAAACCAGGCATCAAGGAAACAAGGAGCTGGAAAATGGCAAAACTCACAGCAAACTGTGACACCAAATGTCTTGGGGGCACCCGCCCCAACATCTCAATTTGGGCCTTGGCCGGTGGTAACTCCCATGGGGGTTTGGCCTGGCTACTACCCCAGGAATCAATGACCGGGTTTCGGTCAAATTGGGATGTATCCAAACTTGCCCGAAGTTCAGGAAGCTGAGGCAGAACCATCACAAGGCCGAGGAGCAGATGGGGGTCAACCACAACACGCTCTGCCGCAACAAGGTAATCAAGTTCAAAATCAATTTCAGGGTCAGGGACATGGACAAGGACATGGTAAGGGTAGAAATGGAGGACGAGGAAATGGTCACGGAGAAGAGGAAATGACAAACAAGGAGGGAGTTGGGGACATTAGGGAGGTGCTCAGTCCGGGAACTGCAATCAAGTGAGTTTTAATATGATCAGACAAGGATACAACCAAGGCTATGGTCAAGGGTATGATCAGGGATATAACCAGAACTATGGTAGGGGATTTGGAAGAAATGATGGGCAATGGAGTGGTTAAGGGACCGGGAGAGGTTGGATAGATTACAACGAGTGCATATGTACGCATTGCACGATAAAAGCACATATTGTGAAAAGGTGTCATGTTAGAAAGATGGATGAATAGGACGGATTGATCACGTCAAACATCGATGGGGATGTTTGATAAATGAGGGAACCGGATTGACCCAAACATCCCCAGGGGCACAAGGAAGGAGGCAATCAGGATTGCAAGACTCGGACCCAGCGCTCCAGCTATGTTTCGTATATGGCAAGAGAAAAAAGACCCATTTGTTTGGGTAGAGGAAATTGATGAGCTAAGTGACCAACTAAGGAAGGGAATAAAGATAAGTGAGGAAGAAAAGGATACCCCGCTGATTGAGATTAAGCTAGAAGAAGACGATGTAAGTAGAGAGTCAGCTAAAGAAACCTTGGAAAGGATGGAGGACATGATAGATAAGATGAGTAGACTAAATACGAGAATGACTAGTATTTGCGAGGAAGTACAAAATTTGGAAATGAGAATTCTGCATGTATTCACCATGAGTCAGGGAAAAGAGAACGATGAGCTGAGAATTCCTAATCCCAAAGCTCTGAGAGTCACTCTGGCTGCTGGGTCAGAAGCCGCCTACCAGGCTCTTAGAAACTTTGTCCCTCATACTGCACGAAAGCCTAAGGGAGGTAATGCGCCCAAGGAACCAACCCAGGCTCCTGTGCCACCTCAAGGAGAAACTTCTATTGATATAGAGGAAGAAGAGGACGATCAGGACGAATTACTCAGAGGAGAAGAGGACAAACGCATTGAAGGAGAGCTAAGAAATGAAAGCATGATATTAAGGAAGGAAAGGAGAAGACTGGTGAAAAATCGAAGAAAAAGTACCAGACGTCGATTGAAGAAGGGGTAGACTTGAAAAATTTGGTACACAAGCTTCTTGATGGACATAATGAGTTGTTAAATTTGAAGGAGATTTTGGCAATCGCACCGAAACTCAGAGAGTTAGTAAAAGCGAAGTTGACACGAAAGAGATTAGCGACAGTGAGATTGGGAGATCTAATTACCAAAGAGGCGAACTGGACAGTAGCTGGAAGCAAGATGAAATGGAAATCTGTGGGAACAGGGTCCATTGATGTCAATATCAGAGGGAAAGGATGCCCTGGGATGGTGGATACAGAAGAAGAAATGAACATTATGAATTCTGAAAAAGGCTAGGATTAGAAATCGACAGGAGAGATTTCGAGTTTCTCAATGGGGTTAGTGAAAAATCAGGATACAGTGGTATTGCATCAAATGTAGTCGTGGAAGTAGGAAGTGTAAGAGTCCGCTCCTGCTTCTATATCATGCCTAACCTGAATCTTCCCATATTACTAGGAATATCTTTCTTATCACGATCAGAAGCCCTCATCATGAACAAGCATGATAATATTATGTTGGTGATCCAGTGTGACCCTGTCTGTGGGAACTTCGAGCTCATTACCTGTAAAAATACAGGTCCCCATAGCTCAAAGAACCAGCTCAATGCTGGGTCATATACTTTTGAGGAGTCTGAAAATAGTATAAAAGAATTAAAATGAGGATCTGATAAGGAAGATGAGGAAGAAGAAAGTGAAGGGTTAGCATTAAGTCTGGCTAACATAGACCAAGCAATGTACATGGTATCCGCTTATGATATGGTGGAGCCAGAGGCAATTTGGCCTTTGGCTGACAAGCTGTATGATTACCCTGAAGGAGGGAGGATGAAATTGATATACAGACCGCCCCCTCGAGAGGAGAAAATGCAGGGACCTTATGCCCAAGCTAGCGGTCAACATTTTTTAGGGGTGGGCTCAAGCAAGGGGGAAAAAGGAGGTACAAGACGGTAGCCAAAAAAGGTCACCCAGTTTCGGTTTTAGTAACGCATGAAGAAGGAGTGTACTATGAGCAAGAGAGAGAATTGATAAGACAAATGAGGGAGAAATGAGGAGCAGAGTCCTGCCGTGTTAACGAAGACACTGAGAAAGACTTGATCATTGAAGAACCTGAGTTTTTGACTAAGCAGGAAAAGGCGTTAGTGATCGACGTATTGAAAGAGAAGCATTGCGCCTATGCCTTTAATGATGACCAGAAAGAAAGGTTGGATGTAGACAAGATAGGGATGATCCACACGGTTTCACATCAACCTTGGAATATTAGAGGAGACAAGTACCCAAATCCCGATGATCAGAGAAGGGTGGTGGAATATCTTGATGGAAAGATTGACTCTCACGTGGCAGGTTTTTCTAGCGGACCTTATGCCTCACCGTGGTTCTGCTTCATTAAGCCGAATGGGGTACTCATGTGGGTGCAAGATTTGTAAAGGTTGAATGTTGTGACAGTTAGGGATGTTGGAGGGCTCCCCAACGCTGATCAACTCTCTGAAGCATGTGCAAAAAGGTTTACTATCTCGCTTATAGATCTGTACTCTGCTTACGACCAGTTTCCAGTTTATTTAGCCGATAGACAAATACTGCAATGCACACTCCAAGAGGACTGATTCACATAAACGTGGCACCCCAAGGATGGACGAACGTGGTAGTCATGGTACAACGAAGCATGATTAGGGTTATGCAGCCGATCAGTCCGCGGATTACTGAACCCTATATCGATGATCTTGCAATAAAAGGCCCAATGATGAAGGATGAACAAGAGATTGCACCTTGCATAAGAAAATTTGTCTGGGATCATGTCAATGATCTCAGAAAGGTGCTTGATCTGTTACAGGAATATAACCTCATGGCAAGCGGAGCCAAGTCTCGACACTGAATGAGAGAGACCACCATATTGGACTTTGTATGCAATGGGCAGGGACGTCGCCCAGATACCAGGAAAACGAACAAAATTATTTTGTGACCGACGCCATTTAGGAACATAAGTGAGGTGAGGTGTTTCCTTGGGACGTTCGGATTTTGAAGGATATTCATCGAGAAGTTTGCTGCTAAGACGGAACATGTGAGAATGTTGGTAAGACAGAATCAGGAACGGGTATAGGGGGAGAAGCAAGAACAAGTAGTGAAAATTTTGAAGAAGGAATTTGAGGAAGGAGGTCTTGCGTTGGGGGTCCCAGACTATGAAGCCGTTATAGAGCGACCCTTCATCATAGGGACTGATGTCGGACCCACTGCCTTGCGAGGAGTTCTGATACAGACAGATTTTGAAAGGAAGGAAAGACCTTTTGCCTACGTGTTTTTAGACACTACCTCTACGGGAGAAGATTCGTCCTGAGGATAGATCCGACTGCCCTTATGTATTCCCTCAATAATTTTCCACCCACGAATCCTACAATCGTTAGATGACTCACATACATCTGCATGTTTGATTTTCAGTTGGAACATATCCCAGGAAACAAAAACAGGGCTGATGGGTTAAGCAGGATAGCATGAGAAAAGCCTGGAGATACCAAGGAAGAAACGCCACCAGTAGATGGATTCCTGGATGAAGACGATCTGCAGCTTCATGTGAACTCATGAGAACTAAGTGTCAATGATAAGGAAGCAAGGAGAGGAAAACCCATGTAGTTTGCGCCACCAACTTTGTGAAAATTGAAGGGTTGGTGTTGAGACCTTTCGTTGAAGAAGACCCATGGGGAGAAAGGAATGGAGAGTGGATTGTGGAACTGACTTTGGCAGAAAACTACAGGTTGACAAACGATCCGGTAACAATTGAGGCAGGAGCAAGACAAGTGGATCAACACCTACTGACGATGGGAAAAGCACACTATCTTGTCAACTCGCTCCTGCAAGTTCAGATTGAGAATGAAGGAGAGATAGTAAAGGCAGACGAGATAGTGTTGAGAGATGATCATGAGTTTGATGAGGAGATGGAAGAAAAACAGTTTGAGCAGGGTGAAATCTCGGAAGATTTCCGGGAAGAAGAATATGACGGATTTCATCTAGAAATAAGACTTCTTCTCTCCGGCGATAAGCGAGAAAGGGATGTCAGTGGAAAAACTCTTCGCATGAGAGATCACTACATAGTAAGGGGAAGTCATCTCTTCATCAGGGATAAAAGGGGACCTCCCAGGAGAGTCACTTGTGGCAGAAATCGGAAGATCGATGTCATAACAGCTCTTCACGATGGACCCGTAGGTGGTCACAGGAGTTTTGACACTACCATCAAAAAGGTGACCGAACTGTATTTTTGGGAAGGTATGTACGGGATGATTCGGAAATACTGCGAGCCGTGCGTCCCTTGCCAAGTCAGATCTCCGATCCGATACAAGGAACCTCTACATCAAAGGTAATATCAAAGATGTGGGGGCAGTGATCCACCAGGATCTTCTGGCAATGCCGTTGGGGCTTGGAGGATATAATTATATCTTTGATGCAAGAGATAACCTTACGGGGTTTGTTGATGGAAAATCCATCCGAACCAAAACTAGAGCAGTCTTGGCTGATTGTATCAAGTAATATTACCTTCGATACCCCTTCGTGATAGAGTTTACAATGGATAGAGGATCGAAATTCACATGTGGAGAAGTGAAGAAATTGTTGGATGACCTTGGGGTAATCGCGAAATTCACATCAGAGCTAGGCAAGTCAGTGTTACAGAAGAAAGGATTCAGGAGGCAGTCGAGAAGGTGACTGACAGTCATGGGAAAGACAACGAGAGATGAGATCGGCTTCCTCGTGTAAGAAACGAACCACTGACGATTGGGGACGAAGTACTATTATACGATTCATCCCTGGAGAAACAGTGGTCAAGAAAGTTGGATAAGAGATTGTTGGGGCCCTACAGAGTTCGACGTCAGGGGAATCATGGAGCCTATGAACTAGAAGAGATGGATGAGACATCAAGACGAGATTGGGTTTCTGGGTCAAGGTTGAAGAAATTTCGAGTAAGGCAGGAGGTTAAAACTTGAAGCTAAAATAAAAACAACTTGATACCCTTAAAACACCTTGTGATAGAATCATTGCAAAATTTGATATTGTTACCCTCCTGCTAACACCGTTTCGCGTCCACCAACCTCTTTTTCTTTTTCTGTGTGCGGGCATAATCTTGAAAGAAGGAGCGGCAATGACACAGAAGGGAGGGATGACGGGGACTTCCAGGCCAATTTCGGGCAGGGAAGGACAACAGAGGTTGCGGCAGGTGACAAAGGATTTTGATGGGATGCCAGTGTACAAGAAAGAGGACACTTTCAGAATGTTCCTGAGGGAGTTTGAAGAGTATGCCTTCAGGAGGGAATGGGATACTCAACTCATGTTACTTAAAGTAACAGGGTTGGGAGAATGCAACAAGGAGATGGATGAGATTGTCTCAGATTGTCTGGGATGGATGACCTTCAAAGCTGAAATGTGGGCTAAATATGGGGATTTGACAAAGGATGAGATCGAAGATGACATCATCTTCGATGGTACGAATTTGGAAGACTTTGAAGACAGTATCGATCTTTTTGCAGAGAAAAGGAGATGGGGAGAAAATAAGAAGTTAGAACAGTTGATGACAAGAATAGCACCGAGGGAATCTGAAGTAGTGAGAAAGGTCAGAGGACGAATGAAGGAGACGAGACATCTCCTCAACAAAGGGATGATAAGGCAAGGACTCAAGATGGAAGTGGCTCAGTGAAGGAGGCTAAATCGCAAGGAAGGGGGAAATGCGTTGAGAAGGAAGTGGAAGGTAGTGACATGTCTCGAAAGGAGAAGAAGGGAAGTGAGAAGGTGAAGGAAGGGAAAGAAAAGAAAAAGGATGAGGAGAAAGTTGAAGAGGCAGGACCATCAGGAAATGCTAAAGCAACTACTTCAGAAGAACCTCCAAAGGAATAGGGATGGAGGAGATTGACAGATGAAGAGAGGCAAAAGAGAAAACAAAGCAACCAAGAGTGAAGGAACCAAGTCGTTGCCCTGTTAAGAGAACAAGAGTTGCCTTTGGACGCACCCTGGAGCCTAAAACTGGAGAAAGTACTGCTCTCTGAGATTGTGGTAAGTTCCAAACTGACGTCTTATGTAAACAGATTAATCCGGCTCCATGAGATGCTGAGGGAAGATTGTGAATGATTCCTTGAAGAAGAAGCAAAAGTGGCCAATAAGCTGGAAAAGGTGGAAGAAGGAAGAAGGAAGGAAGGAAGGAAGAGGGAATTGAAAATCCTCATTCAGGAACTCCAAGACAGGATAAAGGAGAAGACGGAGTTACTCACGCAAGGGGTGGCAAACCACATTCCTGAAATTCTGAAGCAAATTCAGAGGTTAAGGGCGAGAGAAGACAAAATAAAAATGCAGTGGACAAGGATGGAGAGGGAAGCAAAAAGTTTGAAAGGTGAGGTAAGGAAGGCAAGAGTTGAACAAGGGAAGTTGGAATTGAAGGTTGAGTCACTAAGTACTGCTCTTAATGATAAGAGCAAGGAGGTGGAGACGGAGAAAATGGAGAAAGAGAGGTTGGAAAAAAATATTGGTAAGTTGGAGGTAAAAATTAGTGAGCAAGATAAAACAATTGAGTCTGAGAATAATGAGAGAAGACAAGAAAGCGAGAAATGGGAAAAGAGATGAAAAAAGGTGGAAGAAGCATTGAAGAAGTCCAAAATGGATATTCAGGCGAAAATCGAAACAGGAGACATTAAAGGGGCAAAGGACAAAGAGAAAGATAAAAAACAGGAAGGAGAAGTGGAAAAACTTGATGATAAACAAGACGAAGGGGTAGTGGTTGGAATTGTCACCTCGCCTGGTGAAAATGTTGAAAAATTCTCCCTGACTGATAACGGAAGGGAACAGGATAAAAAAAAGTTTTATCTTGAAATGTTAATCGGGACGACATCTCAGGATCTTCCATCATCTGCAAAAAGAACAAAGGAGGAGGAAAGGAAGTTTTGCTGATACTGTATGAAGGAGATTCATAGGAGAAATGAGTGTCCTGGATATAAGACAGATAGGGCTAAAGGGTTTATCGACCTCGATGAAAACAACAGACTCATTGATAGAAGAGAAAACCTGATTAAGAGAATCAAGGAAGGATTCAAAGTCCAATTGTATGAGCAGTTGTGACTCACTTTAGAGGATTAAAGTAAAATATCTCTCGATAGGATTCTTATGTTTTTCTTTTAGAAAGGACATTGTATATTAGTGATTGAGGGTAGAGAAAAAAGTGTGGTGAGTGTGTTATCTATTCTTCTAAGATATAATTTCAGATATAGTGTTTTTTGTCAGTCACAGAGTGCGTGCTCCATTTTTATCCACACTCATTAGTCTTAGGGGATTTTGTTATGTCCCTTATATTTTTCTGGCTCGACATTTGTATTCGGGTGATACATGAGACGGGTGATTAATTTTTGTGATGAAATTTCATGTTTCAGAAAGGATTATCTTGATCTTATATTTTGTATTCAGTTGATTTTCTTTGTTCTGAACTTATTTATGAGGTATACCGATGGTAAACATGAACACTTGCACTTTCACAATTGAGATAATCCAGTGTTTGGTTTTGGTTGATGAAATGTGTATCTTGGATATGTGTACAGTTTGTGTCATCGAGTCTTGAACTAGGATGCTTAGAAAAACGCCTAAGAGTTCAAGAACGATAGGATGAAATGTGACTCGTATAGTTTGAAAAATGCTTTACGTTTATGGTCAGTCTTTTCCATATTTTATTTTATGTAATTATTTCTGAAAGGGACATGAAAAAGTCAAAAACTTTGATGCATTTGAGAAACCTTGCGAATCATGGAAATTTATGCTATGTTTGAAATCAATGTTTTTTCTGTCTTCTAGAGTACCCTAGGTATCTAATCGAGGTAATGCCTAAGACTACAGAATATCAAAGTGACTGTGTAACATAGGTTACCTACTTGATGAATGAAAAATAGGAGGAAGTGTCACAACTAGAAGGGACTATCGTAGGGAAGAACCTCTTAAGCGGTCTCATCAATTTCTATTATGTAGATTAGGTTTTTCGCTACGGATGATTCTATATGCTCCCTTTTCAGCAGACAAAAGGAACCAGTATCTTCCAGGGGGCGTACAAACTGAAACTTGCCGAGATGCTATACAGGGTATTTCAATTTGTACTTGTCGTGTCTTAAAACACCTATTCCAACACAAAGCTCGTACCAACTATTAATTTATAGTCTTACTCCCACTACCCAGTGAAAGCTTATATGCTATTCTATTTTTTCACTTATCGTTTTGCTAGGGCTTCAATTAACCAGACCCAGGCCCGTTCACATAGGACCCCGGCAGGCAACCGAAGGTCCCTGGCAACGGCGCCACCTGTCGCGCGCGGCGGTCCCGCTGTTGGAGGGCGCGGTGTCCCGACCCTCCTCCACGTGCCAGGCACCTGCCCAGTGCCTGTCCCTTACCTGAGCGCTCGCTGCTCATCGGGTTGTCTCCAAACCTGTGTAACACTCATGGTATACCCGAGTGGGACCCTGTTTATAGATCAGTCTTGTTGCTGCCTGCCCCCAGCAAAAGGGGTGTGCCACAGTGCTTTCCATTGGTCCGTGCAGGCTCGGCGCCCTGCTGTACAGCAGAGCACTACCGGCCTGTGGCCACGGTAGCCGTCGGGTTCATCCTGGGACGCGAAGTTGGAAAGACCGGCGCTGTTATTTCTACAGCGCGCCGATCACACCCTAACCAGGTTATGGGTTAGGTGTGCGCGACATATGTCGCTGTCAGATAGAAAAAAGACCAAGAAGGGGGAAGTAAAAAAGGAAAGACAATATGAGAGAAGAAAAATAAAAACTAATTGTCAAGTCTATGCGAGGGCCTAAGTTCTTGCTTTAATTTGGGGTTGGCCGGCGGTCTAATTTCCCAGCCGCGGTCGCTGCCGAATAGCCTGGCCTGATCGGAGTTGAAGGGACTGTCTAGTGTTAGTGGTTGTGATCCGGACCAGGTGCTGGGGTGTGGTAGCGACAACCCGTGCGGACGCCTGGACCAAGCGTTGGGGCCCGGTAGCTGTGTTCGAGGGTAGAAGAGAAATCTGAGCACTATGTTTCCTTTTATTTCTTTGGTATTATTATTATTATTATTATTATTATTATTATTATTATTACTATTATTATTATTATTATTATTATTATTATTATTATTATTATTGTTACTGTTAGGTCTTTTTCTAATGCCATTCCCTTTGTTGCTTCGCGGGAAGTCGAACGGCTCAAAATTCGAGCGCGGCTGCAGTCTGTGGCCCTGACTGACTTGGCCTGTCTCTTCGGTACGGACGGTTGGGAGGCCCGATCGGGCGCCGCGCGACAGGACCCCAAAAGAAGGGCGACCCGAGGCCGCATCAGCAGGAGGTTCATCACCCCCTATAGAAAGTCATGAACCCCCTCCTTACCATCGGACACGGATACCCATCAGAGATAGTCTGAGGGTGCCTTTTGAAAGGGAAAATACGCCGGAAGTATCTTGTTATGGGACCAGAGTGTAGAGTCTGTGGTCACTTCACGATTAAAGTGAACGACTAGTGGCCGAAAGTTGGGGTAGGCATTGTGACTGTTGGTGTTTTGCTCCACGCCATTCTTCTGTTTATTTTAATTTATTCTTATCTATTCTATTAATTATGATCTCGTAAATTGTTAGAGCTTAGAACTCTGAGAGTTATCTCGCGTTTAGAAAACAGGGATCTTAGGCTATAAGGAAAAGAGGGGAATGGAGTTGCATGGTGTGCATGAGGTGTGCCCTCCCTGCTCTGAGAAGCCAGAACGTTGTTCCCTGCTGAACGCTTCTACAACGTTTTTGTGGGCCCTGTGAGAAGTCTACTGCGTGTGTTCTAGTGGTGACCTACTATTCTGAGAGGGCTGACTTGTGTTGTGCGAGGTCCGCTGAGAAAGGCTTGGCTATGGCGTTGCATGGCTATAGACCGGGCTACTGGTAATCTTGTACCACCAGGCTCGCTGGAAGCCTATGTCTAGGGAAGGGCCCTGGATCACGGTGATGCTCAATTACGATGGGGGTGACGAAGTGAGACTGAAGATTAACGTGGAAGGGGCTAAGGAGGTGGAGATGCAGACTGACCCAAAGCTACAGGCCGCGATCACGGAGGCAAAGGATCGTGTGGAGAGGCTCTATAGGAGGGACGGAGTGACAACAAAAATGCAGGTAATGGTCTCGTATCATGAGACCGAGACCTCGATGGACACAGCAGACCTGGAACAAGCCCATCTGGACCGGGACTCATGTGGGGAGAGCGAGATGAGCGAGGCAGGAGACCGGCAGACGGACCTTCAGTCCTGGAACAGGCCAGGCCAGGTCCGCAAAAACCACCCCCTGGCAAGACCTGGGGAGAGCGGGGCCGAGACCAGCGGGCGGCAGTGGCGTCCCAGAGGATGGAGGACAGGAAAAGGGGTGTGAGTGAAAGGGACACGCGACACACACTCTCCACGTGGCAGTCCGGGGGAGCGAGGAGAGGTCAACACACGTGCAAGCCAGAGCGTCACACGCCGAGGAAGCGTGGTGCAAGAGAGTAGCCAGAGGGCGAGTTCACAACAGAGGGGAGAACGACGAGTGTCGGCGAGCAAGGGGCAACGCGGTAAGGTAGTTAGAGGGAACTTACAGCGGTCGTGCTCAAGGGCGAGGGAGGCAGGACTGAGAAGGTCGTCAAAGACAGACAGAGAGGAAAAGTGGGAGAGGACGCGCGGAAAGAGGTCAACGCGCGCAGAGAGTCGCGGAGAGAGAGAAACAGCGGTGAGAGTAACACAGCGGGTACGTTCAGCTTGGTGAGCCAGGGCTATGGACACGGCACTAATTTGACATCATCACTGATGATGGGGCAAGAGTCACGGTTGAGAGGGGCGCTTGCATGACAGTTAAGAAAGTGAGACAAAAGACGGGTTTCCCTCTGTCTACGCTAATCATTAGCCACTTGGCACAGACAATTTTCTTGCTTACTTTCAGAC